CTGTGTGGGAAACATTTTGAAAATAATGATTTTAGCCCTACTGAAATTAATTTAGAGCTCTACGAAATATATCCAGTTGCCATGTCCTGAATCAGACGCCGGCGCTCATTAAATTACAGTGTATTTGGTCACATATGTAGGTCACAATGGCTTGGTCACATATGTAGAGCACCAGAAGGCCTGCAAATGGTTATCTGCTGCTCTGCTTCTTGACGTTAAAGGGGCTTATGACAATGTCACCTACGAAGCCATTCGCAGCGCATTAGAAGGAGTAGGACTTGGTGGCAAGAGATATATGAGGGTTCAGAGGTACCTTCAGAATAGGTCATTTCACGTGCAGACAGAGTATGGTCCGACACCCTAGTATACTACTGTAGCCGAGGGAGTCCACAAGGTGGAGTGCTAAGCCCGGCTTTGTTCAACATACAACTCAAAAGACTAGTTAGCAAGCAACCAAGCAGCGTACGACTTTTAATTTATTCTGATGACATCTGTGTGTGGACATCAGCTTTGACTCGACCTCAACTTTGCGCTCTACTTCAGAAGGCAGCATCGGTGACATCGCACCTCCTACGTAAACAAGCTTTCGAAATCGCAAGTGGAAAGTGTGCAGTCGTGGCTTTCACCTGAAAGCCCATGTCCGCTTACGGCATATCGAATAACGGGCAATTGGTGTCATACAGCAGGAGTCACAGGTTCTTGGGAGTCTTAATCGACCTAAACCAGTCTAGTACCCCACAAGTAAACTACGTGAAAAAGCGGCTGACCACCATTTTTCACTTGTTGATGTTTTTTGCCGGAAAAAGTTGGGAGTGTCCGTCGAGTCTGTATGACAGCTGTACAAGGCACGAATTGTTGAATTTCTGCGGTACAGCCTACCTGTTTTATCTAAAACGTGCAAAGCTAACCTGCGCATACTTCAAAATGTTCAAGCCCAGGCTCTTAGGATACGCCTTGGTTTACCCCGCTGTGCTTCAACAGCTGAAACTATTGCTATTGCACAGGACTACTCGATCATGACGCACATCACCATTGAAACGATGCGTAAATGTCTTTGCGCATCGTGCATTCTTTACATCATGTTTTACACCTGCGGAGAAATTGGTGTATCCTCCGTGGTGCCTGATACTTCCGCAAGTACATCTTTATATTCAGGAAATACAGAAAAAAATCAAATTTGCCTTCCTCAGTCCTAAAGCAATTGAGTTTGCAATCTTGCACGAAATGTACATTAACCACTTGCACATATACACCAATGGTTCAACCACAGCGTCTAGTTCTAGAGGTATGGTGGTGATTTTCGTTAGAGGAATCACTCTGCGAATCAAGCTGTCACATGTCACTACGTCTACGGCGGCAGAACTTGCGGCTTTGACTGGCACCCTAGAGTACATCAAATCTCAGAAACACAGAAAATGGACTGTGTTTCCTGACTCGAAACCGGCCGTAAAGAGCATGCAGTCAGTCCTTCGACGAGTTTACCACGAGCAGTTAACATACGAGGTTGTCAAGCTCCTTCACCACGTCACAGAAACAGGCCACGAGGTCAATTTTCAGTGGGTACCTGGTCATTGTGGGATCAGTACCAATGATTCCACAGACAAAGCCGCTCGCACATCCCACCAAGAAGAGCACACCCTTCTAATCCGTTTGTCAAGGACAGACGCTGCGAAGCAACTTATTCACCTGGTACGTAGCCTTTGTCTGTTTGAGTGGAACACCCCAAGCATATGGCATACGAGACTCTACCAAATAAACCCTCGACTGGACCTTCAACCTCCATTCGGACTTCGTCGACGTGAAGCTTCGCTTCTTTATCACCTTTGGTTGGGGGTTGCCTTCACAAAAGCGTGTACAACCCTTATTGGATTGACCGACCATGCGGAATGCGACGTCCGCGGTACCGAAAAAGACATCGACCATCTGCTGTTGTTGCCCTCAATTTGCCTCGAAAAATAGAATCTTTCTGACTAATTGCGACAATTGGACGATCACCACTTTCTATGCAGATGCTACTGGAGCACCGTCCTCGTCTTTCATCGGCTCAAAAGGCAGTCAAAGCCGTCTTGTGCTTTTTGAGGACTACAGGCCTATGAGAACATGTTTAACTTTTGTGTAGTGCCACCGCTGCATACGCGACAGCCCTTGACTGACAATCCTTTTTAGTTGCTTTCTCTTCTATTTCCTCTCTCTCTTTCATCTTTATGTTCCTACTTCCTATTCCCCAGCGAAGGGTAGCAAACCAGGCATGTGCCTGGTTAACCTCCCTGCCTTCTCTCTGGTTGTTCTTGTTCTCCATGTGTTTCTTAGCAAACTGAAGGCCATTCGCCCTATTCTGTATCTGCCAAGCCACCACGTCTTGGTGCTTTCATGCTCGGGAGCCTAACTTACTATATGCCAAACTCGGCCCACGAGGTGTTGAGCATGTGATGCGCGCAAATCACAGGTGGGGATATGAATCGCTTTATTTGTCGCACACATAATCGAATGCTTTTTACCAGGAACGTGTGGTATGTCATACACCTCCGTACCACGCCCCATAATTTTTGGCAAAGCCGCCGTTGATTCCCATTGCATAGCAACGCAGACTTTGGTAATCTTAACCAATGTCGCAAAAAAACATGGTTGCAGCATGGTGGCTTTGTTAGTGGATTAAATATCCGGCGACAGCATGTAATAAAACTCATGGCTCAGTCCGAAATGAAACCCAGGCATTTTGCATCAAAATAATGCCTCTACAACAGAGCCACAGCAGTGCTTTTGCCACTTTCGAAAAGGCCCTGAGCAGGCATCGTGCTAAGATAGATCCCACTGTGGCTGTAGTGTCGCCTATCCGCATTTATATGAATATGTTGTATGACTCCGGAATCTATAGTTCATAAGCGTTCCGCAAAAACACTTGGGACCACTACTGTGAATATTCGCTTCATCCACCATAGCCTGAACTGCGCAACAATGAAACTGGTGCATTAGCATTAGTGCTACATCGGGCAATACAACTTAAATAAAGAAACATTTACGATCAGCGTGCCTAACAAAACCACGGCATGCGCATAACGACCTAATTTACACAAAGACGCTTGCTTAAGACGCTTGCCGAAAAGCAGGAAATAACGGCATAAGCTGGAACTCGCTTACATGCATCGCATGAAATTGGCTGCCACCACGTCTCAGATATGCCGAATTTTATTTTGTCATTTTCTTTCTCGCTTCCTGCTATATCTAGGTGGGGGAAAAGAATTTCTATTCAGACTTTGTTCTCATAAAGCGCAAAATGGAGCACGGCCTTGCTGGTCTCTGTGTCAGTAAGCCTAACCACTTGTCAGATAATTCATTCTGTGCGTTCTTTATTGCATACCTGTCTAAGCCATAAACCGAGCCTGTGGAAGCCTCTTGTGGGGAACTTTGTTTTACATAGTGATCGCAAGCACAGCACACCAGCAGCTGTGGTTTGGAAGTCTTTCGTAACCAACTTTATGACGAGAGCACACATGGTGCCTGGTTTCGAAATTCGACCAGCACAATCACTATGCTGGCTAATCCGTAAAAGCCGCTGGAGCATACACTTGTGCGTAAGCTGCTATCATGGAGGTATCTTCTTCCTAAAAACCTTGTAGCCTTCGCTGAATACCAACTAAAAGACAACTTTTGCACCAAAAGTCATTAGCTGACTAGCAACATGGGCTGCCTACATGAGGCATACTTCATGCGCGTGGAATAATGGAAGCAAGTTGTATAGTGATTTTACCAGTTAAAATTTACGAATGATTTTACCATCTACAATTGGGCCGCTAAAGCCATGCTAAGGAGCAATAACATGGTAAATTGGACACTCATTTAATCAAAATTGACAGATTATAAAAAAGTCAGACCTTCTTCGCTTTATTACATCTTTCTACAACTTTTGACTTTACCTCACAAAAGGCATTTCACTGTTTGATTACTGCGCTGTCGATGCCACTTTTTCAAACTACATTATGTTTTCGCTGTTTCAGACGTGCTGCAGGTATTTCTTGAGAATAGAATTGCGTGTTGTAAATACACCAGGAAAAACAAGGGGGCCATAAGCAATATTTTTGTAATGAAAACCATAAATGAGCCGTTGTGCACTTAACATGCTGAAGGAACATTTGCGCTAGAGTACGTCGTATAATTAACGCGTCTCAATTCTAGTTCGTATAAACGTTTGTATTTGAAGAGTTATCTGCTTGAGATATAAAATATTCATAAACCTTAAATATTATAGTACGTGCTCTTGCAGACCTAATTGAGAGTTTGTGTACACTGTCCGATTACTCCGAAGTTTTATGTCCACTTCTCGAAAGTACTTTTTTAGGCCTCCAATTTTACAGAAATGGCTATATCATTGCGTTTCCACAATCAAATGAACTGTCTCTTTTTCCTCGGGACTCATAGACACAACATGTCGACATTGCTGAAAGTAATGATTATAGTCACGGCATAATGTTCAACCTAATTGAGTTCTACTACTATGTTGTACTCTATTTCTGTTTCCTGTAATCGGTGAGCAGGGGAGCAGTTTTACAAAATTTCGTCTGAAATAACTTGAAGAACGTAGTTTCGAAGAGCCTCTCATTGATGCCAGATTACGCAGACCGTCTCCACCGCTTCGTCTATATATACTCAGGAAGATTGAAACAAAAATATTTTTCCCTCCTGCATTCTGGGAAGACTCCTGCATTTGCAATGTTTGCATAATTGTAAGGGCATCAGTTTGTCAAACTGCAGTTTTAAACTTTCTCATTCACGATAGAATTAGTTGCTCAGTATTTAAAGCTAGATGAAGTGTAAAAAGAAACAGTGATATCTGACAAACGTAGCTCCTTTTCTGTATAACGTAAGCAAACTTTCATGGTCAATACGATCTATGCTATTTTCCAACTAAACAGGAGTGAAGATGGCCCGTGCAAGAAGGCTTGGGCTCATAAGAAACAAAAAATATTTTCTGGATCTGCAAGTTACGAGCACACAGGCCATACTTTTTAACATAATTTATTTTTTGGAGTTTCATTCATTTCAATGTATAGCCACCATTCACTAAATTGACATAGTTGTAGGGCCTCTTCTAATCATCCATAGTATCCATATCCCCCGTATCGCCGGTAACCTCCATAAGAAGGGTAGACGACATAGCTCGGGTAGCCAGTGTATCCACCGTAGCTGCCGTAGCCTCCATAGCCACTGTAGCCACCGTAGCCACCATATCCTCCGTAGCCACCACCAGAACCAAGTCCGAGGCCAAGTCCAGTGTATCCATTCAAGCCATATCCGAGAAAGAATGTGGCCATTGCGCCAACAGTCATCAGGCAGAGCATAAACAAGAGAGCCTTGAATGAAAAGAAATTGGGGACCCAAATTAAAGTTGTACTAAATATTGCAGTCGCTGAAAGAGTTCTACGTTCAACATTGTATGGCAAATCAATAGGGAAAATAACGTCTCTCAATGGTGGCTATGCCCTACCTGGTTGAGATGATAAAGAACATGATCACTTGCCTGCAATGATTCCTTGTACAGTCAAAATTTGCTGAATTTTATGTGGTATTCAGTGTGATGGCTGGTTTGTTTAGCAGAAAATGGTTCTCGGATGACTCAAATATCTAGATGAGGTATCCATGTTCAATGAGTTAGTTGCACCCATCCGCCCAGAGAGTTTCTGTGAAACCTCACATTGAAATGGGAAACAAAAAAATTGGATGCGCTGTTTTCTTCTACTGTCAATAGAAAAATCACTATTTCTGATTAGTACTCCCAATTCCCCGTTATTGGAAACAACTACATGACAGTTGTCTGAAGGTATTCTTCCGCTTCATACATCAGCATGCGACTATCGTTATCTCAAGCAAACAAGGAAGCTCGTGCTCACAAAACAACATCAAACAAAGCCAGTGAGTGACTGCCGGTTGGCGCCTCGAAAAAAATTGTGTCATTCCATATAGCTCCGCTGAGGAGGCAACCAAAATTATCGCAGGTGTCGACGCGGGAATTTCGTACCATGTTCCTTAGTCTGGATGGCGTGTATATGGTGACCTCGACTTGATTACCAACTCATGTTACAGCAATATTTTTTCATGAATACTTTTCAGCATCTTATGAAGTAGAAATTATAACTTGTAATTTTCAGCATTAACATAAAATGGGTCGAGCGTGGCACTCTGGTTTGAGGGAAGCGAGAAACAAACACATCCGTGGTACAACCGGTAACGTTCTATAAATATAGTTGTGGGGCCTCCCGCAGAGCCCCCTTTTTTTATTCGTTGAGTGATGCAACCTCGCGGAGGCTATATTATGGCTTCATTGGTGAAGAGAACGTCAACTCTAGAACCAATCACACAGTGTTATAAAATTTTTGGAATAACGTCAACGCCTTCAATTGTTCCCCATCCATACACGTGTTATCATAGTTGCGGAAATTGAATAATGAAGGCGTCATTAGAAGAGAAATTTTGAAAGGAGTACTTGTGACTCATCAAGAATTGATGAATAAGACTATTCAAATTTTTAAAGAACAACATTGCCAATCGGTCAGACTTCACACTAAATATATATATATATATATATATATATATATATATATATATATATATATATATATATAACGAAGTCCTTGTAGTCTTGGTTGCGTCAGCGTTTATTTGAGGAAAGACCTCGCAAAACGAACGGGCAGAGCCAGTACACCGACGATGATGATGACACAGAGTGGCAATGAGGACAAAAGGACAAGCGGATGATGGTGATTGTGATCATGCAGGGATGACAACGATGTAAGTAACAAACGCCCACAATATATCTGTGTGTGTATTTGTACAACAAAAACGTATCTGTGTCTACATCGCCAGGGACCACAGCTCTACTACACAAATACTGGCAGAAACGTACAAAAAATTTCATCACTTACCAGTTATTAGAGTGAGTGTGTGTTTATTATTTTGTTGCGCATTACGAAATAGAAGCTGAAGTGGAAGGCTGCATAACATGATCAACACAAAGGTTGATGGACATATGGTTGTAGCACAATAACTCGAGGTAGAGGAACAGTATTGTCTACGTTGTAATACTCTAAGTCAGCACAGACTGGCCCATTGCGGGAAATTAGACAGTCGTTATTATATAATCAAGGATGACACGTAGCATGAACAAAAATACTATACTTTATTACGCATGGTCGATATCACGTCCTCTCAGAACTGACTATACCGTGGTAACACAGCATATATATACGTTATATGTATTGATTAGACTTGGTAAACGTTGGAGCAATTTACGTATAGGGCACTCTATGTCCTTCTTATAGAAATATATTCTAATATTTGGATTTTTTGTGCAATAATTGTACTTGAGATTCGTACACTGTGAAGTATTCGGGTCCGCCGTGGCGGAGAAGTAAAAAATTGGTGCCCCGCTGTGGGCCAGAAGTTCGCCGTTTCGATTCGGCCATGCAAGACACATTTCGATGGAGGCGAAATAGTGGACGCCCATGTACAGTGAGAGCTGATTGCATGCGGGGCAAAACGAGATGGCGAAGACTTCTAGAGCTCCATATTACGGTGTTTTACAGTGAGAGCTGTAGGTTAGGGTGGGGTAAAACGAGACATGGGGCAAAACACGATATTTGTTTACTTTGCCGGCCTCGCTAGTTCATACAAAAACTGCTTTTATTTGTTACGGTCCTTGCCTACCTTCTGATATGTAAAAATTGATGATTGGTCACAGCGTTCACGCGAGAAAAACTACGTGACCTGTGAAGGAACGCGAAATTCTGCAAGGCGACATTTTCAGATCCGTGCATGAAGCAACTCCGGCGTCTGGAGAGCAACGTAAATATTTCTTTTGTTACTTTAGACCACGAGCTACATACCACCAAAACATTATTCAGTTTGGTGTTTTGGAACAAAGAGGATATTGTTTCAAATTCTAGCTTGTGAGAGATAAAAACTCAAGAAAAAGACGTTGAATTGCCTTAGAGTGTGTCATATTATTTGAACCATTAACTCACACTCATTATGTAAATTTCATTGTTTCGGAGGGTTTTGACATACAAGCTGATATCTTCTAGAGCTTCCTGCAGGAGAAAAACGAACTGAAAAATCTCCGAATGCCGTTCAGAACAACACTTCATTCATTTCCACTGCATCGAAGTTTTTTCATGTTTCCAAAGATGTTCTCAAAAGACTCATAAAAGTTGACGGAATCTCCAAGTCATTCAAAAACACGTCTTTAAATTGAGTTTCAACGACGTTTCTCCAGTACCCTAACTGAAAAGAAAACAGGAGTAAGAAAATAGGAATCTACCAGTTTTGAATTCATTGCTACACAAAGCCCGACGGACGAAGTTAAAAGCCACGGAACGCCTGAGCAGTACTGCATGAAAACGGCAAACAGAGGTGAATAATAAACATCAAAACATGTCTAGCCTCCAATTGTTGAACATTGCGCCCCGTTTTTCAGGATAACTGCCAGATAATGCTCATGTCTCTCGTGTGACGTGACTTGATGTGCTCGTTCACCTCCGCTGCATGCTCGAGGCACTCTAACGCAGCGCCTCCAGAATACCATTCACCGATTTTCTTGCGCAGAACATCAATTAAACATTTTTTTCAGTCTGTCCAGACGCAAGGCCATCGTCTTTCGACAATATTTGTGGTGTAACGTGCATTTACGGGGTCAATTTTTTTCGCACATTTTCGTTTTGTCCCACTAAGGTTCTCGTGTTTCCTTGCAGGTTGGGGCAAATCTAGACATCTTAAGGATTTTTCTATTTATTTTTAAAATGCTATTCAGTACGCTGGCAACGTAGAACTATTTATGCAGCACACACCTTGCACCCAATTGAAAGTTACTCATATACGTTCGATTGTAAGGAGCGAAATTGAAATAAATATTGACTATTTAAAATTTTTGTCACAACTTTTCCTACACCACCCTAGAAGGCTAGGATACACTATTTGACGTCGATCTCACGAATAGTTTTCATTGGCAGCACTATCGATTTCGTCGTTCTCAGCTTCGTACCCACACGCGCACAACATTGTCTACGTTGTGACTGATGTCGTCCATGCGGTCGCAGTTAGGCGCCGAGCACGTGCACAGTTTCTTTTCAAACCTTCCACAAGGGTAAGCCACAGACAACTCTAGAAGGGTACTGATGGTGGAAACGTGCGAGAACTCGCATTCGCCGGGCCGATGGTGCAGTCCGGGCACAAAAACAGGCCCAGGAGGCTGAGTGTCGCAAGCAACTGCTTACCGATGATCCAGCAGCCTTGCAAGCCGCACTAAATTGCGAACGGGAATGCAAGCACCGGTGGCGGCCGGATCCTGCAAACCACGCCACCGCGTTAACTTGTGATGTCAAATGATTGCGGGAGCGCTTTCACCGGGGCGAACGCCAGCTTTCGGCGGGAGTTTCTACAGTGACACTTTGGCTTCGGCTGCGATGCCTGTGACCGGCTGTGGATCTAGAACAATTACGATGATTAACACATTGCGAAACGTACTTAACCGCTATTACACTCCTCCACGACCATAATCATGCGTGGCACAATGTGCTATATGTGAAATAAACACCATGGTAAACCCAAGCCAAATGTACCTGTCCAACCCTAATATAAAGCGCGAACATGTAACAAATAAATGGGAAGAACTTTAGTGCACCGTCGAGTGTAACTCACTGCTATATACCGGGGCGGCACATTTCAGCTTTCGCTGGTTAACCATTTGTACGGAGTGCTTGGGCGGTGATATGCAATATTCATATTATAATTTACGGACGTAAAGCCCCAGATATTGTTATCTCAAGTACTTGGTAGAAACCGAGGCTTGTATTTTATAAATAAACGCAAATGCTGAAAAAGAAAACATTGACTGGACGTTGTCGATAGTGTCTAGGTCTTGACAACTGGACTTGTCTTCGTAATAGGAGGAACAGCCTTTCTACAAAAGCCTAAATTATCATGTACTTGTGTTACGTTTCACATGAAATATTTTTCTAAAAACTTATCAAACTTGTTGCTCACCAAACCACAAATGATCTTGTCAAAACAAGATTGAACTTGTTTTTCCCTAGGTGCACTATAGTTGTAGCTATGTAGAAGGGAAAAAAGAGGTGCTAACGTGCCTAGCAACCAGTACCTTCCCAGATACACCTATCGGAGTTACGTTATTTCGTAACCCACGACTCATTTCATGAAAGTGCACTACTGTTCTTGCGGAATGTTTCGTCCTACAATCAATGTTTCTATGGCTAACGAACATTACTTAGTGGTTTATTATATCATAAATATGGGCAGATCGGTCCTTGAGCGCCTGTGTGACGGCGAGCGCTACATCTGTGATTCAGACCCCAAAGAGAACATGCCGCCATACGCCCGATAATCATTCAGAATCCCCCACGTGCCACATAGTATGAATCCAAAGTATCACGCCAAGCGAATCACTCGAGTCGACATCATCCGCACAAGACACCAGCATAATCCACAGGATTCCTAGGTCCACGCGGTGAAATACCCGGGCAAAAACGCCAACGCTATATGAGTGTGGTCAACGCAAAAGAAAAAGAGCGGGCATAAGCCACCGTCCGGGGGCGGAGCTGCGAGGCTGCGAAGGAAGCAGCGACTGCTCTTGCCACTACGACTGGTAAGGACGTGGTCGTAGTCTTGACAAATTCAGAATCCCCTGTACGAAATTCCACGCGAGGCCCAATTACCGCTGGAGGTCTTAAAATTCTCAGAAAAAGCAAAACTCCGCTTCCTTACACCTACGTTGGTTATGTTCCGGGGCACGAAGCGCTCAAGGGAAACGAAGGCGTTCACGCCGCGGCCCACGTTCGCGTCAACCGGACTTCCCTGGGCATCTCGCTCAACCCGTGTTTGGCCAGCGCTGCCTCAGAAGAAGAGACCGTACCAATGACATATAATGCCATACTACAACACTATTACTCACCTCACAGGGTGCACCCACCACCTCACCTTAGGCTGACCAAAGAAGAGGCCACAACATTTCGAAGACTGCAAACCAACACGTATACGTACGGCATATTACTGCATAGAATCTACCCGACATTATACGTCCTACATCTGGCCTATATGCGACGTGCCAGACACACTACCGCACCTCATACTCGAGTAACCGTGGTCACCCGTAGGCGTCAATACCAAGCCCACAATGACCACACGTATTAATCTTCTACTCAAGACGTAGGAGCCCATGATCGTCTATACGACCAACAAGGACTCGTTGCGAGGGCCCGGAAGACGATTGTGGTCCGAGGATTCCTGGAAGCAGGGACCCTCCCACTTATAGGGTGAGCCCTATCTCACGAGCTCGGGAACGCTGTTACGGAACAATAAATGTTTATTCTATCATTGTGGTGTTTTCGTGTAATTTTGGGAATTTGTAGAATAAACGAAATACATGGTCCAACGACTGCTCTAATGATGGCTGCATTCCTTTATTACACCTTCTGTGCATACGCATTCATCGCTGTTGTAAAGCTCTACAGCATATAACGCGCTACCGATGCATATTTAAAAAATCAACAAGTAACACGCATCTATTATTATTTAAGAAGACAAGTTCAACTCAACTTTTGCGAGCCTCTTTACTGCTTGTTTGACATATTCTAAGCAGTGTGTCGTGAAGCACTTGTATGCACTTGGAATACTATTACTTCCTACCGACATGCTATTGCTAGTGATGGCGAATGCGATGTCTTATTGTTAGTTAGCCTTTACGTTTTGTGCAGTCCCAGTTATGTGCTGTTGTTATTTGCTCTTATGAAGTGCGCGTCATTCTTACTGATTTTGCATACCGAGAAACAAGTCTACATCGTAAATATCCAGGTTTGTGCAATCTAAGCAGATGCGAAACAATTAAACTTGGAGGGCCAAGAGATGCTTACCACGAACTTCATTGTGGCGCCTATCGAAGACTGCTGCTTCGAAACGGTACCTGGAAGAACCTTGGCAAAAGCTGGAACTGAACGGAATCGATGGTGGCTATATATATAACGTCCGTGAGGACGGTTTGACTCGTGATGATGGTCTCAAGGGGATCTTACCCCCTTCTCATAATCTTCACTAAAAAAAACAGCTGCCAACAGAAGAACATGCGCAACGCCATATATATATACACCTAAGCGCGAATCGTGCATCGTCTGAGAGAATATTGATCCGTTGGCGATTTCGTCACACGCTGAGACAGCTCAGCTCAACGGGTACGTAAGAGTCTTCTTCTGTGTGGGTGACTTGTAATTGTGGCATCCTCTAGGAATTCGCGAAATTAGGTGCTTGGGCGGTCCCAGCAGGCTATGCCATCTCACGCTGAGCGGCGTTTGCGTCATACACACCGCGCATAGCCTTACATCTATGCCCCACGCTGATGTGCAGTTGCAATATTGCTTTCTTTTGCAACATGCAGGAGCTGATAGACCTAACACTGAACGCGATGCCTCTTCGAAGAGTGTCATTAAAATAATTGTTATGTTACACTTTGATAAACGGTCGGCGATGAAAAATTTGCTCACAGCGTACAATTGCATGCCGTGTGCGCGTTGACAGTGATATACTATGGGTAATGAGATCGTTTGGGAGAAACAGCCGTTACGAAAATTAGTAGATCCCACGTACAGTGAGCATCGATGATATGCGAAGCACTAATTTGAAAGGTTGATATGTCTCTCTAAAACCAGCACAACGTTATGAGGCGGACATTTATTGTGCCGTAAATGACTTCCATGTCATGATTATCATGCTTGGACGTGTGATTTACCTTCGTCGTCTACTCACGCCACGTGATATCAAGTTTGCTATATGTGGAGCTAGTAAAACGGCCGCAAGCGTGCTATGAGCGTATCATGAAGTCATATTTTACATGACACGCTTGTCCTGATTATCATCTTTGGAAGTGTCAATTACCTTCGTTAGCTATTCACGTCCCGTAATACCAAATTTGGTATATGTGAAGCTAGCAATACGGCCGCGAGTGTATCATGAGTGTGGTATGTAGTCATGTTGTTACATGACACGCATGTTATGATTATCATGTTTGGACTTATCTTTTACGTTCGTCCTCAGTTCACGTCACGTAATACCAAATTTAATATATGTGAACGTAGTGAAACCACCGCAAGCGCACTATGAGCGTAGCATGTAGTTATCTTGTTACATCACCCTTATGTCATGATTATCATGTTCGGACATGTCATTTACCTTCGTCTTCCGTTCGCGGCAAGCAATACGAACTTTAGTATACGTGAAGCTAGAGAAACGGTCATGCGCACGTTATGAGCGTGGCATGTAGTCATGTTGTTTCATGACATGCATCTCGTGATTATAATACTTGCACCAGTCACATACCTTCGTCATCCAGTCGTGTCCCGTAACATCAAATTTTCTATATGTAAGGCTAGCGAAACGGCTGCGAGCGCATGATGGGCATGGCATGTAGTCATGTTGATAGATGATACGCATCTCATAACTGTCATGTTTGCACGAGTCACATACATTGGTAATCTATTCATGCCCCGGAATACCAAATTTGGTACATGTGAAGCTAGCGAAACGACAGCGAGCCCGGCTTGAGCGTATGGCGTGCTGTCATGACTTACATGACATGCATGTTATGATTACAACGTTAGGGCCTGCCATTTATGTTCGCCATGCAGTTATGTCATACCATACCAGTTTTGCAACATGTCATGTGAACAAAACTACCATTGGAGCAGCAAGACAATGAAAAGCAAATCATGAAAGTCATTACATATATTTCGTGATTTTCATGTCGCAACAAGTCCATTATGGAAACATACTGGAGAGCTAAAAGTTGCAGGCGGCTAAACAGATAGACAGACAGACAGACATATAGATAGATAGATAGATAGATAGATAGATAGATAGATAGATAGATAGATAGATAGATAGATAGATAGATAGATAGATAGATAGATAGATAGATAGATAGATAGATAGATAGATAGATAGATAGATAGATAGATAGATAGATAGATAGATAGATAGATAGATAGATAGATAGATAGATAGATAGATAGATAGATAGATAGATAGATAGATAGATAGATAGATACGCTCAAGGTCACCGCAACTCGCCAAGAAACGCTTCGCACTTAATTACAAAGGAGTGGTCATTAGGTGATCTTCTATAGTGTTATGCATATAGAAACATTGAAGGTCCAAACTAATGCAGAGCTGAGGATATATGAGTGACACTTCCGGCACAATGCCGATCTCCTTGACATGCTATTTGCGTTCACAAACCCAAAAGCCTTGAGGATTTCAAACCCTCGAAGAGTCACAGGGCACCTAAAAATCAGATTCTTTGCCTTGCTAAGGGACTCCGAAATTTCCGCAGAACTTCAAAAGTATAAATTATTTCTAGAGAGAAAGCTGTTGTCAGGTGTAAAACTCGAATCTCGCGCAGCGCCGTAGTTGTCTTCCGCTGCAGCCGTTGTCCGTAACCACAGCGCGCGAAGTCAGGAGAAAACCTAGTATTAATGACACAGTGGGGCTCGAGCTTGGGTCTGCTACGTGCCAACCCAGTATTATACTAATGAACCACGCCGGCGAATGGTACTTGTTGGCAAACTTGCCTTAAGCAGGCAAGATGTTGGGAAAGATATCGCGTTAATCCGGCTTACAAAGCGTTTTAAATAAGCGAAAGAACAAGCAGCCGCCACAGAATGCAGATAGCGTAACGAGTGGGCCATCTCCGACCCACTACAAAAATTTTTCTTGTTTCCCAATTAATTGTGGCTTATACCAGCTTCAGCCTTAATTCCTCATCGTCGTCAGCCACTTCATGGACCATTCGTACAACAATCCTTGCAATAGTTTAGTCGATACCACGCTTCTCAGAAGAATGACACAAACTAGCATAGCGAATGCCGGCCTACTACACTAAAATTTTTAATTTTAATGTCATAGTGGGCATCAAGTAAGTGTGCGTGCAGCAGTTACCTAATGAGAGTTTATTTTCATTTCATTTCATTTCATTTATTTCGCCCTTAAAGGCCCGACGGCATTACATAAGGGGGGACAAGTAACAAGATAGGGTACAATATTCAACAGGATAAGTAAATAAATAAATAAATGAATAAAAGCAAATAAGTTTACACAGGAGACAGGAATCAGAAATCACATGAACGAACTAGAACAAGATAAAAAAGAATACACAATGCTTTACATATGTTAAACAATTGCAGAGCAAAACTGAGTACAATTCTAAAACGATTGGCGATAAACACGAAGTAGCTGAGATTATCAGGAGAGAGGCTTGAAAAAATGTTCGCTCAGTTTTGCGCGGAACGTTTCTCTGTCGGCGCATGAAGCCGAGTCATCTGGTAAGGCATTCCAGAGGGCTATTGCATTAGGAAAAAATGAGGTGATAAATGCTGTCGTCCGGCCATTTATGCGTGCAATGGGCCGGCTGTGATTTATGCGCGATGAAGTTCTGTGAGCAGATTGGAGCAACTGATGTCTTGAGCGTGGATGATAGTAGAAGCGGTGCAGAAGGCATAGACGGGTGATCAAGCGGTGGGATTCAAGAGTTGGAAGGGAAAGAGAGTGTTTTAGCTCGGTAACGCTGGTTTTGTGTGAGTATTGCGAAAATATGAAGCGAGCTGCGCGATTTTGGATGGACTCTAATTTAGTTGTTAGGTAGGCTTGTGAAGGATGCCAGATTACTGAAGCATATTCAAGTTTAGGTCGTACGAAGGTGATGAAAGCTAGTTTTTTTACGTCGGAGGATGCGCACTTCAGGTTGCGTCGAAGGTAGCCGAGTGTACGGGATGCTGTAGAGCAGATGGAATCGATGTGGGTGATCCAGGATAGCGATGAAGTCAAGTGGACGCCAAGATATTTGTAGCATGATACGGAAGCTATGGGCATGGCCTTAATAGAATATATGTTAGCAAGTACGGCACGCTTACGGGTAAATGATAATGATATGCACTTATCTATGTTTAGGGGCATGAGCCATTTATTGCACCATGAAGCGATTGAGTCGAGGTCGCGTTGTAGCTTATTAGCACCGGCAGGGCTATTGATGACGGTGTAGATAACGCAATCGCAGCGAAAAGTCGGATATTAGATTTAATGATAGCCGGCAAGTCATTAATGTAGATGAGGAACAGAAGGGGCGATAAAATGGCACCTTGCGGCACGCCGGATGTTACCTTAGCAAATGCTGATCGACAGTTATTAGCTGACGTGAACTGCATGCGTCCCGTCAAAAAGTGCTTAATCCAGCTTAATAAATTCGGAGGAATACCAAGAGAAGTTAGCTTGTGAATCAGGTGATTGTGAGGTACGCGGTCGAAGGCTTTTGCAAAATCCAGAAAAATGGCGTCTGTCTGAAGGTTATTATCCATGGAATTAAGTAAGTCATGCGTAAATTCGGCGAGCTGGGTATCACAAGAAAAATGTTTGCGAAAGCCGTGTTGAAGTGTTTAGAAGAGGCTCTCAGAGGCCTGCTTTCTAGCTTTCGCTGTCACTGTGCTGCACCTTCTGCGCAGGCCTGGTATTTTCATTTCTAGAGTTAAGCCTTTGAATGAGAGTCTACCTTGCTCTCTGCTCAGCAGGTCTAAAGCAACTGCTATGCATGCTTACCCTATCAGACGCAGACTCTCACAAGTGCCATAGAACTACTGATAAACATTTCTGAACAGCAAAATATCAATGACTGAAAATCTTTTTCCCCTTTGTCTCAGTCACTGCTGTTCGCCCTCCCCTCCCTCTTGAAGTAAACAGGCTACGATGCAGTTCCAAATTAAATATATCTGTCAAGATTCCCAGAAAGTCAATGTCTGATACACTTGAATGTGCTTCACCGGGATGCTACGGATGGTACATATAATTTCTGGGGCTCATATAGATCCCTCCTATCTAGCACACAGGGCCGGCTTGGGTACTATAAATATGTGCTTATACTGAGCCCGCGGTATGTCAATGTGGAGTCTGGAAACGCTGTGCAGAAAGGGCGTTCTTTACGATTTCTTAAACGTCACTACGAAACCACCATAGCTCTTTTACTTGTTTTTATTGGCAATGCTGAAATAAATTTTGTTAT